CAGGAGATTGGTACATCAATTTGATTTCAATAGCACTATAAAAAGAAGGATTTCTTTGTAGTTTGTATTTTTCAGAGCCTACCAAATTATTCCAGATTTTATATTTAACCAGATTTTCCTGAAAATGACCTGGCAACGCTGGCCGCCAGCGGATGGTGGAAGCAATGGAGGAAAACCGCACAATTTATTCACACTCACAAAGGATGAAAACACAAAGCTCCGCTCTTTTTTTTCGGTTGGATTTGGATCAGCAGCGGTGGAGATCTTCTCTCGCGCGCTTCATTTGGAAATGTGCATCACCTCTCTCGTCCATCCCGATGCCCCCTTGTTTGACTTTCAGCTTTGTAGGTGGCAGTTCGTGGTGGATAGTTTTCATGTTTTGTCTTTTTTCTACACCCGGTGCTCAGTGTGTTTCTGCTGACACACTCCACAACCAACGCGTTGGGTAACCTACTCTTGCTATATAAGCTCGATGCCCGCGGGAGCACAGCTGAACTAATATTCAACAATGGGTGCGTTTGGTAGTTGCTCTAAATTAATTGGTTTTCTTACTGGTTTATTAGATCTTTAAGGTGTATTCAGAGCTGTATGCATTTTTCATGAGTTTGTTTTGACGTACGACTACGTCGATGATTTCTTTATGGGGGTACATTTTTTTTTTATAATGCGTTTATTTTCCCGGCTCATTTGCTGTAGCTTTGCAGAGCCTGGGGGTACACTTTGTGAAAACCGAAAATGGAAAATGTAACAAAAAATGAAAGATTTTGAACGTTAATAACTCAGCTGCCTACGGACTAATTTTAATAATTTTATCACCAATCAATCAGATGTATTTCTACACATCTGTTAAATTTAAGACTTTATCATTTTTTTAAATGTCGCTATTGAAAATTGCACGAATGTGCAACTGTTGCTTTGAAAAGTAAAATTATCACTGATTGCCTGCGAAAAGCGATTTCCCTTACACAGATTTTAAAGTTGAATTCCATCCGGTCTCAATAAACGGTGTTTATTCAATCACCGCGTGGTGAGTGGTGGTGTTCTCAAGTACACGGCGAAAGGCTACCTGCAAGCTGCGAGCTGCAGCCCACATGACCATCCATAGAAGGAGGAACAAGCTGCACAACTATTGATCTGAATCAGTAGCTCTTCGTGAGTCGCTGTGGGCCATCTATGTCAAGCGCGTCATACTAAAGAGTGTAAACATAGAGTACCCCGCTCAAATTTCTATTCCTACACAAAACACAAGCTCCTGCTGCAGTTAACAAATAAGATTTATTATATAAGACCACTTAGTCCTACGTCACCATTGCGTACAACCCCATAGGGCTGTCCCCTCACCATCCCACTCCAAAGGGGGAGTTTGGTGAAGAGAGATGAAAAAACCGATTTGTACCTTCCTTAAAAGTTGTCCTAGCTCGCTATTCTAATATCTATATGCAATCTTCACACTGCCGTACTCTAACGGAACTATCAACTCTATGCTTTCATCTACTCCATCTATCGTATAAAAATTACCACTACAGTCTGTTATTTGAAATTAGCATCTTCAACTATAAAAAGATACTTATTCTCTGAGTAATATTTGTTTGCAATGTATTTAGCTTGCCATCTCGGCTAGAAATTGGATATTGGATAGTCAAGCTCAGTGTTAAATTTGCATCAAATTCCATGTTTTAACTTGACAGTACGGCCAGAAAGCAGGTTTATGTATTCAGTGAAGTTATTGGATGGACAATACCTATCGCATGATTGGCCTCTTAGTTCAGAATTCACTCACCATGCAGCGCTAGTAACATTTGATTCAAAAGTCTTGCTACATTCACTGAAAACAAATCTTATTCAGAAAGTGAGTCACTTTTACGTAGGTTAACAATGCGCTGAGTGCCCAACGCTTTTAGAGATGTATCCTTACGAACTAGTAATGTTATCCAGCTCAAGGTGCCTACATATAGGTGTTCTAATGTGTCAAATTCATGATTCAGCCATGTTGGATTTTTGTATGGGACAGCGACCAAGTTTGTTTACAATTTGCTCTAAAACCGCACTTTTACCCCCCGCGACCTTCTCGCCTATAGATCAGTGCACGGTCCCTAACCTCACTTTTTGCTCCCTATCATTTTGCTTCTGAGTAAAAGAGATAGCAACGAATGGGAGCCAAAACAAACCACCCAAAACTGTCAAAACTTACGGGTGAGAGAAGAGTGCGGCAAATCTTCGTGAACTGATCAATATAGTGGCAAAGCTGTATCAGCTTTTTACGAGCGCTCATGGTGGGTGGTAGTGGGTAGTACCCACAAGTGGGTAGCTTTTACGTTTGACGTTTGGCAGGTGCTTGTCAAACCAGCTCTCGTGTTTATTTGAGGTCAGCTGATTTACTTGAGGATCGATACTTCAAAATGTGGAGGCGAACCAGCCCAAGGCTGAAAGCCTCATTAATAAAGTTAAATAATAATAATACTTCAAAATGGTACATGGTTGTTGCATCACGAACTGCGAATCGAAATCCGAGAGCGGATTTTCCTTCGACTAGATTCCTACTGGAAGGACCAGTGCACAGGTACGAAGACGCCAATTGTGGACCAATTCTATCGGCCGCACCGACATAAATTACCAGTTTGCCAAAGTGTGTAGTAAACATTTTGAAACAGGTAACTAAGTTTAAAAACTGTCTGAGTTACTGACTTTAATATTTGAATTCGCACCTTTGATTAATGAACAATTCCAGGGAAACCCGCGTTATTCAATGAATGCGAGAAGGTGAACTGGAATCCAAATTTATTCTTGAACGTTAACGATCATGAAAACGATGAATTCGTCTTCGATTATAATGATTCTGGACAGCTACCAAGTGACACGGAGATTAAAGCAAACCAATATTTTCCGGAAGGTTTGTTTATTTAGTTTTACCGGTTGTAGCTTACTTCTTTAAAAAAAATACTACATATTACTAATTGCAGATGCTGAAATGATGGACCAGTTCCTTGTCTACGAAGAAGATGAAAGCACATTTGACCTTAAATGTACAGACCTGAGCAACTCGGTGCTACTAGAATGGAACGTGAGCGGTTATGAAAACGACGACGATACACAAAATGATGCAGTTTTTGAAGAAGAAGAAGAAGAAGTATTGGATGCAATGTTGGAAGAGTGGTTGGAGGATGATGCGGATTTTGAATATACGACTGAGGAATGGTTGGATGATGATATGGAAGTTAGCACGCAAGATATTGCAAACCTGGAACACCTGGAAATATGTCAAATGTACGCTGCTCAATACATCAACGAGGGAAACATGAATATACATACACAGTATGATGTCAAGGACATGGATTCAGCAGATAGCAACGAGACATTAGAACAGCAAATAGCAAACAAAGATGCAGAGATAGAGCGACTGAAACTTGCATTGGGAAGGAAGAAGCGGCAGCAAACTGTGTGCTTTGATTTAAGTACTTTTGATGGAAACGATGCAAAAACTCGCCACTTTACTGATCTTCCAAATTTCACTACGCTCAAGATTTTATACGACTTTGTCCATGCAGGCATTTTGGTTTCATCACAGGTCCTAAGCAAAGAACAAGTTTTTATTATGGTTCTTATCCACCTCAGATTGAATTTGTGTTTTATGACGATAGGTTATCTCTTTAATGTTTCAACAGCAAGTAAATATTTTTATTCAGGATTGTATTCGTTGTACAAGCAGCTACAAAGGCTTGTAAAGTGGCCTGGTAGAGAGCTTTTGGATTATTATACTCCACTAAAGTTTAAAAAGGTATTTTCAAGGAGCATAACTTCAATTATTGATTGCTTTGAGATTTTATCAGAAAAGCCTAGCACTAAAGATGCCATGCTGAAAATGTATTCAAATTACAAAAATCACTACGCAACGAAAATTTTGATTAGTATTACACCATTTGGAACTATTTCATACATTTCTAAACCATACACCGGTTGAAAATCCGATAAACAGATAACAGAATCCTGTGGATATCTGAACCAAATTCAACCGGATGATTTGATTCTCGCAGATCGGGGTTTTTCAATACAAAAAATGATGCACGATAAAAATGCTGCTCTGAGTGTACCAGATTCTTCCACTAGAAGCGACAGCTTAGCTCAGTTGCTGTTGAGCGAACAAGAGCTTTGGCCTCAGTGAGAAATGAAGTTGAGCGTTCCATAGGAGCACTACGAGAAAAATACACTATACTCAAAGGCCCTGTTAGTATTACCATGATGAATCACAAACATAACGGTACCGTTCCGATTCAAATTTCGGACGATTCAAATTTCGGACACTTTCATTTTTAATTAAATATTACATCCAGTTAGAAACAAAGTAATAATGTTAGATGATCGTGGAGGGCACTAGTCAAAAAAATTTAAAATTTACAAGACATGTGGATCATATTCGACCGAGATAATCAACTTTTAAAAGTGTCCGAAATTCGAGTTTAAGTGTCCGAAATTTGAATCGGCACGGTATCAACGTTTTGGATATGGCTGTAACAGTATGCTGTGCTTTGGTTAACCTTAGCCCATCTATCAATAAGTGAATGCAAACTATAAAGTTTGTTTAATAAATAAATGGTTATGTATCAGCATTTTATTTATTTTCGAGTTACAATTTTAATATGACAAGGTAATAGGACATAGTGCACTAATTAGTTTCATTTAATTCATTTGCTTTCGGTAACGTACACGGATAGAAATCTCCTTATACCTTTTGGCAAATTTCTATTGCTGATTATTCATAAAATGTATAAGTCAACTAATAAGCAGACACCTTGCAAAAAGGTAATGAAGATCATGTGTCAAATGAAATGTATAAGCGGTCACACATACCTTTTATGCATTTTTATAGGACCTATGTGGTTTGTCTTATGGAATGTAAAAGGCTGATGTTTTGGCAAAAATGTATAAGTGAAACAAATGAATAAAGTAATTGATTTTCGTTTCGTGTAACATAATTAGTGAGTATTTCTGGAACTAGCACTTCTTTAAAAAAACTTAGATGCTTTTTCTGAATTGATTTTCCAGAAAATTTCATGTTTCCTTACTTTAATGAATAGAGTAAATTTAGGAGCCCAAATAACAAAAAAGGCATATGAAGCTTTAGACAGATGAATTTTCATCTGAACTTGAAAATAATATTCGTGTTTGTGATTCATTTTAATACTTCTATCCATGTCACGAATTATATATGGCTTTTGTCTGGTAATCAACGACCTAATTCCATCCTCTCTATTAAAATTTTCGAATTTGAATGGACATTTTGCTTCAACTACTACTGTCCCACAACAACTGCATTGGAAGATATGGTCTGGGAAGGCGGCAAAATATGGATAAATTGGATTAACTATCAGTCCACTTTTCCTACTACAAAAATCTTGGTGTTGTTGAAATTTGAAAAGCTCTACTGCAGCTGCAATAACTTTATGCTCATTACGTTTTCCATACAATGTGGCAGGAAACTCTTGACTAGTATTACCTTCACAAATGTATTTAATCAATGTCATTGATGGAGAGTTAATTCTAGTTTTTACAGACCTTCCAAAGCACGAAGCTGTTATACGTCCAAACCTTAACTTATACCACAATGGATCCGATGATTGATCCCTGGTTACCTCTTCCGCCAGCATACAGTCTTCATTTGTAAAAGTCCAACCAATTTCTTTTCCATGTTCAATGATTTCCTCTAACGAACTTCCAACCAAATCAGCATCATACATTCTCCAAAAGCTCAACATGTTCTCGGCATAAAAACGCACAGCATTCAGCTTGGAAGTATTTTTTATAATGTTTTGACTGCAACGCCAAGTCAATTTTTTAAGTTCAAATTAGAATTATTTGGTGGTTCTGTGTGAAATTACATGACGATTGTACAGGGGACTACAGGTTAATTTCTAATGAATATTCTAAATAAATTCCGAGAAGAATGTAAAGAGAGTTCTTATGAGAACTTTAAAGAAATTCCTAAAAATATTGAATTCTGAGGGAGTTAGAAAGATAATTTCAAGTGAATTCTAATGAAAGTTCCAAGGGAGATCCGTGAAAAATATCAGGGGCTTCGAATTTTCAATTGAATTTCTAAACCATCTGTTTTGTCATTCAAATATTATTAAATGGAACTGCAAAATAATCTCATAGTTCTACGTCAATAATGCGGTCGTGCTTTGGACACAACCCTCAACTTTTTTTTTGCGTTCAGAAGAAAGCCCTGTCTTAGTCTCAGGTAGCCTTGTCGGTTAAGGTACGGTATTACTAAGCTGGTGGAGGCTAGTTCGATTCTCGGTCTGCTCTAGGAATTTTACGAGTTGGTAAATTTCTCGACTTCCCTGGGCTTGCCACACGATATACAATTTCATCCATTTGTAAAGGCATTGCCAGCTCACAGTTAATAACTTTGGTAGTGCATTAAAGTAATCTGTTAATTGACACTTGATTTCATAATGATCCCTTCAGTCTCCAATTCTAAATTAAGGTGGGGAACTTTTCGTCATATGTTCCTATTTAAATATTCGTATCTGATTGCAATTTTAGAACTAAATGTAATAGACTATGCATTCGCATTTTTTTTTGATGTCCTGAATTTGAAATCAAAAATATGTACAGAGAACCGAGTAATAGGTTACTTCTACTGTATTTTAAATCAAAATCAAGAAAAATGCACATCAACCATGCGGTCGTGTCTTGCACACAACCCCACCATTTATATTGTACTGGCTGAGTGTGCCCGGTCTTGCTCGGGATTCAATATATATTAGCTTGAGTTTATGCGCCGATTTAAAAAAAAGCATGCTATATTGTACGTAGCCCCCCCCCCCCTATTATCTAAGGGGCTACCCCCTATGATTATCTCCTTATACCCCCACACTCGCCCCCACATGCCTAATTTGGTTCCATTTGCTTGATTAGTTCTCGAGTTATGCAGAAATTTCTGTTTCATTTGTATGGGAGCCCCCCCTTACAGAAGGGGGAGGGGTCTCGAACCATCATAAGAACCTTCCACGGCCACAAAAACCCCTATATACAAATTTTCACGCCAATCGGTTCAGTAGTTTCCGAGTCTATAAGGGCCTGTTCATAAACTACGTAGACAGTTTTTTTTGGGATTCTTGACCCCCCCTCCCCCTGCGTAGACAATTGTCCATACAAAATTTTTAAAATTTGTATGGGCCATGGATAATTGTCAACCCCCCCCCCCCCTAAACTGTCTACGTAGTTTATGGACAGCCCCTAAGGGTCAGACAGACAGACAGACAGACAGAAATTCATTTTTATATATATATAGATAGATAGATAGATTAACAAAAGTATTAATTGGCTCCGTAAAGCTAACGCGATTGTGGAAAGAATGAAAAAAGGTAAAATTTCCCCATCAAAAACACCTATGAAAGGATCGTCTGCTGTGACAAAATCCCAGCGCCAAAATGACTCCACTAAACCCACCATTATCGATGACTCAGACACCGTGCAGCGGCGAAGAAACTGTGCAAGTAAAGAGAAAGAAAAAAAAATCATAATTTCAATTTAGTTTGCCTCTCGATCCGGGCAATGAATGATGCGATCGGTTCGGACCGGGCGGCCGGCCGGAGCGCGGCGGGCATGAATCCAGTTTAAATACTCCTCTGACAGCCGTAGTAGTATTAGTCCCCCCATCAGTAGTGATCTATAGCAGCAAGTCGTGCACCGCATTATGCGGGTGGATGGTGGATGCGGTGTAGTGCATGCACTGGCTGGATAATCGAGGGGGAGCGAGCTGTGTGTCTTATTGCATATTGTGAGTGTTCTCTAGCGCGCGGAACAGCGAGCGAGCGAATGGCTCTCCAAACAAATGCGGCTGATCTCATCTCTTCGACTATACTAGTACTTTTTGGGACGAATGTAGACTGAACATGAATTCAGTTAGTGGTCTTTTTTTTATCAATCGAATTCGTGGTTCCGGGGATATTCGTTGGGGGGTCGATTTCCCATCTTTCTATGGAGAACATTGCACATCTGGGGTATGGACATCTAATATAGTTCACGCGTTTTGTAAATCTTGGAGAGAGAGAGAGAGCGAGCGAGCGAGAGCGTGGATTTTCCATTCCATTTTTATGTTTCCATTCGAGGGAGAGCAGAGCAAAACCTATGAGTCAGTGTGCGAGCAGCATGAAAGAACATGACCATTGGCGCGCGCGGGGGAGTCCAAAACGTGCCCCGACGAGTGTGTGGGATCGCTCCGCGCCGCCAACGGGAACGAGTGCTGGTCTGGTGGGTGGAAGTGAAGTGAAGCGATGGAAAAGAAGCAGCTCAGAGTCTTGTCGAGTGTCACCGTCGACCGACAACTGGTCGCAGTCGGTTGCGATCCGTGTTCCGTTCCGGTCGTGTTTTCTTGTTTTCCCCCCGGCTTCAGAAAATAGCATCCGCAACACTTTGCTCTTCTTTTGTGAACCCGTCAGTGTCCTTTGGGGACTCTGATGTAACCGGAGTCAGAAACTTGTCCACCTTTTCCCGACCGAGAAATATTAGCATAATGCGATTCCCTCAGAAACTTTGGTTGAGTTTGGTAAATCCCTTTCCAAAAGAATCCAAATTTTAGTGAAACTGTGTGCTTCAACGGACGATCCGGAGTGCCGTGTGTTTTGTGTGTAGCAAGTCAATCGCGGGAGCGCGAAACCGAAACCCCGAACACAGAACGGCACGAGCGTTTATGGGGGCATCGCAGTGAAGAGTATGTTGGTGTGTTGTGTGGATTTTATTTTCCTTTGTTTGAAAAAGTAAAAGACGGAAAAGACCAAACTGTGGGGCTGGTGCCGCGTGGAGGGCGCAACAGTGACAATAATCGGGCCAAACAGGAACAAAGAGACCACCAGAACACGGAAGAGCACAGAGCAGTTGAATGAAAATTCAGCGAAATCTGCACAGAGGGCACAAAGGAGTTCGAAGCGAAAGTTTTTCGTAGGTTGTTTGTTACCAACGACACGTTTTCCGTGCCCCGATCCCTGCGCTGCTGGGGGAACTCCGTCCGGGCGAAAGTCAGTCGTCGGCCGCCACTTGATGCGTCTGGCTTTGGCGCGCGGGTGCCAAGCCGAGCCGGAGGTCAGAGAAACGGCAAATACGGCGGAGAAAGGTAATAAAACAGCATATTGCATCTTTTGAAACTCGAAATGAATCGTTTTGTACTGTTTTGATTGAAATTGGGGGCACATTTGGATTTTTTAAAATTTAATTTTGCTTTGTAGGTATTTCAGCTTTATTCCATATCTAAAAACTTCAACTTTAGTTTATCGAAAATTTCAATGAATTTATAAGACTGCATAGGCATTTTCAGCTTTGGATTATAAAAAGGGTTTATTATTGCACCTTAAGAATAGCTCAATGCATTTAGTTCCTCATAGCTTTTAAAGTAAAACGTTTCTTTATTCATTAAGAATGAATGATAGATAAATGTCAATTAATTTTTACTCCTAAAATACACAATTTTTTAATTTAACGATTCCAGTCGTTGGAAATCTAAACGGCACTTACTTAATATTAACGATTTCAATTCTAACTTCTGGTAACTCAACAAGTTCTCAGAAGCGTGTGCTTTTGGTAACCTTGTTTACTATTATGTTTTGATTCTGCGATTCGTTTCACATTTTCCCTTTCACATAGCATCATTTTGTATGCTGAATGATGAGCCATTTTCGTTGAATATTTTAGTAGAACGTTTGGCAGATTAACGTAGGGACCAATAGTTAATCATTTTGTCAAGTCTCTGCATTAATGTTCCATCAGATGTCACTGCGGTGACATCTATCGGAAACTACGCATAATCTGTTTTCTGTTAATTGTTCACAGAGGACAGTGCAGTGCAAAACATGTCTGGTAACTCTATATATGCATTTAGATTAATATTCGAAGTCCCTCCCAGGATTTCCCGCCGATTTTTATGAATTGGGCGGGGCAGAAAGTATCTTTTGTGCAGAATATGTAAAAAAGGAGGGAGTTCTAATGTTAATCTAAATGCATATATAGAGGTACCAGACAAGTTTTGTAGTGACAGGTACTCTATTTTGTAATCTGTGAAAGGGAAATCACAAATCGAGTATCATCAAAATACATGGCATGTTGAGAGATTGAGCTCGTGAGAGAGATTTTTAATTTCTCAAATTTTTTTTCTCTCGCTCTGGGGACTGATCGAGGGGGACGACTCTATCTACGATGCAGGAAATATTGTGTTTTGCTGTGGCTAGCTGCGCGTACGCTGAGTAGATAGAAAGAAGATTTATCACGATTTTGAAGATTTCCTGCAATAAGATGATGCGCGATGCAAGTAGATGCGAGAAATGAAAGAAGAATTGAGATTTTGATGTGTCGCCCCCCTCGGGACTGATAGTAAAGCGGTTGAAAATATATGGGAAAAAACCTTTTTTATTTGATTGTAGTTTGTTTAACAATAATTCATAGGTAATAAGAGAACGACAATTTTTTGACCTGAATGCACCGAAAGCGAATTATTCCCACTTCTCTCAATTTCTATATCACTTCCTACCAGCGGAACAGCGCCATCTCTGTGGAAAATGGCCAGACGATATGATTAATTGTCATCGATTTTTGGAAATTGAGAAAGGTATTATTCACACACTATAAAAGGGTTATTGAGCGATTATTAGACACTGTAAGACAGCGTTGCCAGATATACCACTTTTCGATCTTGATACCGATATACAGATAAAGCTTTTCAGAATATCGAGTAATGTCTATTTTTTCAATAATCAAAATCAGTGTTCAGAAAATCATTTACAAATCTCATTCATTGAGTCTCCCTGAGAGACTCA